GTTTTAAATAATAGGTCTGCTAGCAACATATGCCAGTATTCTGTTTAAGCAAATGTCATTCTAAAATATTACTATTCGCTGTATATTGCCCTTTTCACTTGGTTCAAAATCAAGGGGCACAATTTGAATATAAATCAAACAATTATTAGTACTTTATTGGCAATGCTTTACTCTCTGTGTATTTTAGTACACAGAATACTAAAAAAATAGCACCTCACAAAATGGCTACATGGAGACTTTAAAATGAAAAAGCTCTGAACTAAAATTTAAAGAAGTCAGATTTCAGCCGACTGATTCAAAGTCAAAATGCAGTAAAAGTTACTTCTGTTTGCTTCAACTATCAGCCAAAGAAGTTTGCTAAAGTTGATTTTAAATTATATTTATCTGTTCCCTCTCCCCTGTGGATTGAGCCTTTCATCCTTCCTTCCACCGAAGATGGACTCTTGCTGTGTTCCCTGGGCTGGCCTCCATTTCTCAATCCTATTGCCTCTGTCTCCTGACTGGCTGGGTTTATACCAGACTTGCATCACTGTGCTTGGCTCATTCATTCAGTTTCTTGTAAGAAAACTCAGACCCATATCCTGTTAGATTTAGATTTGCAGCTGTGTTTTCTACTGATTAAGGTTTTTATTTATTCATTTATTTATTTGAAGTCTATGGTAAAATTTACATGTCATAAAGCTTTGGATAAGGACTAAAAATTGAGCTCTTTACAAAATATTTTTTTAAATATTTCAAAATACAGACTAACACTCAAGATTAACACACATGATTGCCTAAGTGCCTGCTATGAAAATGCACCAGGCAGGTGTTTTCTTTTGACTTGAACATGAATTCTATTTTAATAAAAATTAACTTTGATATTTAAAAAAGACATCCTTGATCAGACTTCTTGACTAATATATTAGCTTTTTGGTTTGGGGTCATGGACTTACTACTATATTGTTGATGAAACATGTATAGTAACATCTCCTTAGTTTCAGGGCACCTCAAGCAAGATGAACAGATGTTTATAATTTGCTACAGCCGCCTGTGTGTAGGACTTCAGTGTATATTGCTGAAACCTGAAACTCACTTGAAGTAAGCTGAGCCACAAATGAGTTCAGTTACTCGTTTATTGAAAAAATACTACCTTTTTATTGTTAATATTAATTTGCATTCTGTAGTAAGTTTTGAATAGTGAAGTGATTTGTATTTCAGTTTTATTGGTTCAGTCACTTAGCAAAACATTTACTTGTAGCATAAGTATATGCTAAATTGTGAAAAGCCACAGGACTCTATCTTACGAAAAGTATCTCCAATGATAGAACCTCTGATGGGTTTGACTCCCTCTTGTCTTGACTGGCTTTTTTGTTCATTTTCTTTGAGCTGTGGAGATTTTGGAATATATGTTAAATAAATGTTGAATCAACAAAAGAGAAGGATTATCATACTACCAGTGCATACTACCACCCTGCTGGCTTTCTTTTTACCTGATGACTCTTAATAATTCCAAACTTTGGCTTAGAAGAGTCCTAAGAGTTATCTACTTTGAATTTGAGTCCAGTGGAATGATAGGCACCTATAGTTTTCATTGCATCTTTCTATAGCCACATCTCTGGGTACTCATAGCTTGAGAGTAACAGGTGTGAACTGCTACATCCACAAGAGTTCAGCTTTATTGCAGACAAAATGCAGAAGATATATTGTTCTTGTGTTTTTACTTGGTGTCTTTCTCTAATTCTTCTGTTAAGCAATAATCTCTTGAAATTAAGTGGGTCATTGTCTTGAGTGAGGTTTTTCCTCAGCTGAGTAGCTAGGCGGTAATATTATACATTATACAG